CATGATCCCAGGGTCCTGGGATTGAGCCCCGCATTGGGCTCCTGGCTCGGCAGGGAGCCTGCTTCTCCCTCTCCCTCTCCCCCTGCTCATGCTCTCTCTCTCTCTCTCTCTCTCTGTATCTGTGTCTCCAATGAATAAATAAAAAAATCTAAAAAATAAAAAAACAGCTAGCATTTATTAAGCACAAACCAATGACCTTCTAGACACGGAGCTTGCCAGACTTTATCTCATTTGATCTTCACAGTAGCCCCTTGGTGTAGGCACTTTGATCCTCTTCTCCTAGATGAGAACTATGCTCTAAGTTCAAGGTCACAGAGTTAGTCAGGAGCAGAATCAGAATTGTCTGATACCCCTCATTTTAGTACTTGATTTTACTTCTTGAACTTCTTTCCTCCTTCAGCTACTAAAAAGCTATTCTCTGCTCATTTTCCTCCTGCCTTTCACTCTCTACTTCTCATTCTTCACTGCTCCCTATTTCTCACCCAACTGTTACATATTAGGATTTCCCTAGGCTTCTATCCCCCCCCTTACTCATTGTACCTGCCCTGGAAGGCATATCAACTTCCTTTTTTTTTTTTTTTCAAACACCCATGTACTAAAAACTGCTAAATCAGTGCATCCATCCATCTATTCATCCATTTTTCCACCTACCTATCCATTCATCCATTTATCTACCTTATTTATCCAGCTAAGACCTCTCTACTCAGAACTTCTGTGTAATGATCCATCGGTCACTCCTCTTCAGTTGGATTTTCTGTAGGTACTTCACACTCGTTAAAACTGAACTCTGTCATCCTTGCTCCTCCAACCTGCCTCTCCTCACATGTCACCCGCCATGTAATCACTCACCTGATCCTAGAGATTCTACCTTAACATCTATATGACCAAACCCTTTTCTTCATCTCACTGTTACCACTACGGTACGAGGTCCTCAACAAGATCACTCCAATACCCTCTAAACCGCTGTTCCTGTCTCACATTCCTCAGATCCACCCTCCTAGATGGCTGTGAGAGCTATCTTTGCATCATATCACTCCTTTGTTTGAACAGAAAATGGTCCATATTCCTTATGATGGCAAACAGCCTCCCATGACCTTGCCTGTGCCTATACTGACCGTAATGTCACCTTCTCTATGAAGCCTCTCTAGTCTTCTGATAACTTCCAAGTGCCTGTTCAGGGTCCTCTGCATAGCTTTATCACAACACTCAGAGACCCTACAGCATTATGTTACACTTACTGAAACTAGTTTGTTTTCAATCTATCTAACCTCTTAAACCCAGGGGCTTCTGTGTCCGTATATCCCCAGAGCACAAGAACATATTATGCTTTTATTTATTTTTTTTTAAGATTTTTATTTATTTGACAGAGAGAGAGACAGCGAGAGAGGGAATATAAGCAGGGGGAGTGGAGAAGCAGGCTTCCTGCCGAACAGGGAGCCCGATGCGGGGCTCGATCCCAGGACCCTAGGATCACGACCTGAGCTGAAGGCAAACGCTTAACGACTGAGCCACCCAGGTGCCCCCATATTATGCTTTTAATAAATATTTGCTGAATAAAAGAATGAATGCTTGTGAAATGCTTTAGGTTAAGAAGATGTTGATTACTACTGTTCTCCAAGACTAAATTAAACTAATTTATTCAAACTAATTTGATTATGTAGCTCCTCCGTAGGGAGGTATGCAAAATAATACTGAAATGATTGACCTCGCTTCAAGTATGGTGATCAAGATTATCAAGTCACACTTTTTATTCTGGAGTAGGAAAATATGACCAACATTACATAAGGCTAGCTGGTATACAAAGTGGTATGGAAAACATCACTGTATACATATTCCTAAACAAAGGCAATCTGGGCCTACCGTAAGAAAAGTAAACTTTTTTTAAGGGCTACTGCAATTTCTCAGAAAAGCAAAGATTTTTCAGAAGACTGAACTGTCTGACATTAAGACACCCTTCTAAAGATCTCATACACAAAATATTCTGTAAAACAACAACGACATTAAAACCATTTATAGAGAGGCCATCCTAATAGTCCCACTAGGAACCTCAGCCATATAGCTTACAATCCATCCCAGAAATAAAGCATGAGAACAGCAAGTGCCTGTCACAAAGCCCACAGGCTTTATAGTCGGGCAAGAGCCCACATCATTTCACAGAAAAAAAGACAACAGATAATATAGCAGCAGGACTCGCTCACAGCCGGACAGCAGTAGAAAGTGATAGCTGATATCTGAAAGAGGACCCAGAAAAACCATAAAAAAGAAGAACAGTACTTCTGTCTCCAATCTAGTATTTCAACAGGACAGACTGAGACCATTTACTATAAACAAAAACAGCTCTATACACCTCAACGAATAGCACTATTCAATTCTTTATGAATTCATGCTCATAAAAACAAGCCAACAAAAAAATTAACTTAAATCCAGGAGAGCAAGTAAGAGTGTAAGATTTAGAAATTATTTGTTTCACAGCTGAATTTTTAAGTTTCAGTAATTAATTGATCATGGGAGGGGTCAGCTATGAAGAAAATGCACTTATGTAAATAAGCAAAACACAGATAGTATCAATATCAACAAAAGGAGTATTATTATATATTACAAAAACAATCAAAAGTTCTTATTCTCCTGGCATATTCTGAAAATCTAGTTGAATTTTAAACAGCAGCAACTCAATATTACTTGATAAATAAATACATAAACAACTTTGAAAAGAAGTTTGAGAATTGGGAATGTGATTATTTTCTTCCTTTGTCATCAATGGTGGTAATTAAGCTGATATGGTATCATGAAACGTTTTAAGTAACTTAAATTAAATGTTACTGTCAAACTGTTTACACACAAAAAAATAGATTTTATAAGAAATCGATTTTGTTGTAAATATCTTTACTTATTCCACTGGTTTACTTATCCTAATAAGTGCACCAAGTATTAATAAAGCAAGCATAAAGCTCTGGAAATTACAGATTTAAAGAGTTTGAATCTCTACAGTAGTATTACCCAGAAAAAGTCAGAAGTATTGTTTGTACTCAGTTATGCCCAGCTACTAAAACACTATTAAGCTTTTTCCAAATGTCAAGGCATCACACTTCACTGTAGTTTTTAAACAGCCCTGTGGCACTAAATCACACACTAGATGTCACCTTTATCTTCTGGGTGACAGGCAAATCAAATAATATTAGAGTATTTCCCTCTGGAATTATCTAGAATAGTTGCTGAACAGAGTTACATTCCTAAAGCAAAACCTCAAACTAACTACCAGGAGACGGTTTTTACAAGAAAACTAAATCCACTGTTTCCCTCTCTGGGACTGGAAAAAAACAAAAAACACAACACAACACATGCTGATTTTTTATTTAGCTTAGTTAAATTCTGGAATCCCTTATCATACAACATTGAAATGCATGACTCTCCAATTATTTTAAAAATCTCCAGAGACTAAAGTGTGATTAATCCTAATATGATTAGAATACCAATTAAAAAGGACTTTCTATCCTTCCTTCAAACGGCAGTCATTTTTTTCCCCCTGAGGATATAAAGCACAGCAAATTCTGAGTGGAGACCTTTTTACGGACATGAAATTATCAGAAGAAACCACAGCACACTTGGCATATAGCCAAACAGCCACACCTTTGGGCTATTAATCTTGAAAAATTCAATGTTCAAGGTGACAGCCTGAGGGGGCTGTTTTTAGAGTAGTGTTTTTGTTTCTTTGTAAGTTTGTTTGATTTTTCTGGGTGGAACCCACCTGAAACAAAAGGCTATCTCTATTACTAACACGGACTCATAGTAGAGGTGACTCCGGGTCACTCCTGCTTGAGAACACCGCCCACCACCCGTCCTCTAGTGATACGCCCTCTCCTTCTTAAGAATGGCTATTTAATATGATCCAGCCTTCCAATGAGTTAGTCTGCGGAACTCTCCGAAGTTCTCCCAACCTTCTTCCCCTCCCCAGCGCCCCGGGATGCTTTAAGGTGACGGGAACCAGCGGTACAGGTACAGGTACAGAGGCGGTTCTTTCCCTAAGGAAGCGCTGGAGAGTAGTACATTCACCGTACTCAACTTTATCAACCTAAAGTTAAACCAGTGAGTTTACATATACAGTTTGGGTACGCCCCTCCCCACCTCTGCCCGTCCTTTTGCCCCGTCGCACTGCACATACTTGCGCCTTCCGACGCGGTTCGCCTCCTACAACTCCAAATCACGCACCCCAGGACCCCTCGCCGCTCCTCCAGCCCGTGGAAGGCGCCCTACTTCCTGCCGCACGTCCTTCTCGCAACTCCTCTCTAACCTCCGCAGCCCGCACACACGCTTCCCTAATGCAAGGGCACGCCGCATAGTTCTCTCAGCAGCGTGTGAACCCGCGCGCGACCCTGTCACCACTATACATTCCTGGGGGGTCGCGCGGGCATGTGGGCTCCGGCAGACGCTCAAAGGTCCCAAGAGAATAGGGGTGGGAGTGTGTGTGTGTGCACGCTCGCAGCCCCACTACACTCCCCACCCCCAACACACCCAGTTCCCCTTTAGGGAGAGGACGACTATTAGGAGAGGTCCGAAACTTCCTGGTCCCCCATCCTTGCCGGCAGCGGGCTCCGGCCCTGGGGATCCCCGATGCCCATCCCTCCAGGGTCAAGTGCAAGGTCCTCCGCCAGATACGCGCACGGTTATCCCCTCCCCTCTAGAGTTCAGCACGCAGGAACTCAAGAAGACCCTCAAACGGGTGCCATATGGGAGAAGAAAGGAGTACGGGAGCTATCGGGGGGCAGCTGGGAAAGATCTCCTTCGCCGTTCCTCAACCTTAACCTTTCTCCCTACCCCCCACCCCCACTCCCCATTCCTTATCACGCTCAGCCCAACCCCATCTGCCCTTTCCGATCCCAGCCCCCAGCCCCTGGATCGCAGCCATTCGCCCAGCACTCACCTCTGGGAGCAAACAACGCCCACCTCCTCCTTCCAGCCCGCCCCCCTTCCGCCCCCTGGAACGCCGCGGTCCCTCTACTTACCTCGGCTCTTGGCTGCTGCGCGTGAGTTTGAATGTGTCTCTGCCGCGTAATTGTATCCGGGGACAGAAGGGACCCGTGTTTGTGCTCTGGATCAGGTGTCGCCGCCTTCGGTGGTTTGGGGGCGTGAGGGCTGTAGAGTTAGTGTGTTAGCTTAGGACGGACTCACTGGGCTCACAATTGATGGCAAAGCTTTAACGGTGCCCTCCTTCGGGTCCGGAGCGCGCCTGCTCCTCCGCTGCTTCCCGCGGCTGGCCGGGCCCCCCCAAGCCGCGCCCCGCCCAGCGCACTGCTAGAAGAGCAGGAGCGCGCCCCTCTCCTCCCGCGTCCGGCTCGGCCCGGCACGACGCGGGTGCCACGCGCTCAGCCTCGCATCACACGCCTGGGTCTGCGAACGCCTTCTCCCTTGGCCCGGGCATGGATGCGGACGCGCCTTCGTGCGACGCGCTCGCGGGCTGGGCGAGGGGCAGGTCCTGGGACAGGGATGCTCGCCCGTGGAGCGGCGGTCGCCTGGCAGGCTGGGACGCTCGGGAGCCCTCCGGTCGCACCCGAGCTGGGAACCCTGGGAATGGCACGTGGCCCCGCCCCCTGTTCCCCCTACGAGGCGTGCCCTGTGCCCTTTCTGCCACCACCCCTCTGGTCCCCGTGCCCGCCTTCCCCCCCCGCCCCCCCGCCTCATCACGCTATTGCAGTCGGAATCAGCGTGGTGGTAGCGTTCCTTCTCTCACCTTCCCAGCCTCTTAGCCTACTGCGCTCCTCTGGAACCTATTAAAAAGTTCAACTTGGGCAAGGAGGTAGAGGAGATAACGCGAAAGAAAGCGGGGGTGGGAGGGTGGGTTAGGTGTTCAGGCACCTGCCTTGTGAATCCTAAAGCGTTAAAACAAAACAACCACCACCACAAAAACTCGAGTTTGGGGGTCCCGGAAAAAGTAATTTGGGTTGCTGGGCTCAGTAACATCCCTCCTCGCAGGCTCATGCTGAAAGAGCCATTTATGCTTTGCTTGGTTGAGTCTGTGGCGACTTTATCCTTACTAATCTGTGTTTGCCAGCAGTAGATCCTTGCCAAGTTGGCGTTCCGGCCAGGAAGCAACTTTGCGAAGCCAGGCCTGCTGGAGCAGCCTTCTTGTGGCGCCTCAGACCTGAGAGGCCAAGCGCCTTTAAGAGTCTGAGGGTAGATTGTGAGCTTCTGGGAACCAGGAAAACCTAATAGCGTTGTTCGATTTTCTCTAAGCCCGATCGGCATTGTATTCAATAAATACATATACGACGTGAGCAGAATTGTTTATGTTACAACTTTCAGAAGAGCGAAAATCATGTCGGGCATAAACTCCAGAAGGTATAATGTCTACAGTGCGCACAAACGTTATACGTTTAAACACTGGAAATCAAAAAATACGCCAAGTCAGGCCATTCTTTTCTTGCTCCGAACCGAATTTCAGAAATAGGTTGGGACGCTGCGCTTAGATAAGAAACCGGAAATTATGTTTTATTGTACATGTTATAACTTAATGATAAATGGGGAAAAAAACCACTAATATACACCATTGTTCTCATTTTATTAATGCTCTTATATTTAATAAGTCCAGGATCTAAAGTCCATGTGCTAAAGAAAGATCACTGATGTAGTTTCAAATACCGAGTTCAAAAAGGAATGCACTTTACTTCTTTGCAGATTAGAAATTTGAAATATTGTGAAAAACACTAGGAGTGTGTTCTCAGTCTTTGTACCTGGCAAAAGATTACCATCCCATATGTTTACTTTTTATTTAGCCTGCATTCAAAAAACCTAAAAATAAACATTAAACATAACAGATAATGATCGGACACAGAACTTAAGCATTGCTTTAAGAACTCTTTTCTCTTAAGGGCCAGGCTTCAAGCAACTGTTCTAGCAATTACAAGCCATTGTTTTGATAATACACATGTAAACTTTGATAAAAAAATCATTAGAAATTAAGCAGACACTTTACCTTTTATTTTATGAAAAACCTTTCTAAAATTTGCATCACATTCCTTTGCTTAATAAAAGCATGTAAACTGACCATCATGTGAGATTTTTGTCAGACTTTCGGAAAGAAAATGCATTACTATATTGTATGTGGATATGTCCCTGCGTATTGTTTCTGTGGTCTCTCTAGTGCCTTCCATAGTCTTGATCTAATGATTTATTGAAAGGTCTGCACTCAAAGGACATTCTATAACTTAAAACAAGTTAACTCAATCATTGTATACATAGCTGAACTGCATTGTTGGAGTTTGTAGTTATAAGAGAAATTGGTGAGATTCTCTCTCTTTTTAAAAAAATCTACCAGCACTTAGCACTTAATATTATTGGCTGAATGACTGGATAAAGTAGATAATGAAAGCATTTGCTACTTCTCTTTAAGGTAGAATGTATATTTCCCATATTTAATTCATCCTGCAAGCTCCCATTCAGATTCACACAAAGTTCTCCCTATCATTTTTGTGTATAAAATGGTGGCTGAATTGGACAGCGTATCTGTAGTAAGGAACGTCTAGCCAATGTGAAGTATGATAGTAAAATTCCTCATTATTTCTATAGAGCATGTGTATCAGTATACTCAACTGTTAATTTTTTTTTTAAATGCTTGTTACGAATCTTTAGCCAGTTGGGCCTATGTGATTTTTTTTTTTTTTTTAATAAACAGTAACCTGTGAGAGAGATTAGCTTAGCCTGGTGATTGTTAACCATAAGCTCTGGAACCAAACTTCTTAGAATTGAACTTCAATCAATTATAAATGGCACGATCTTGTTATCAGTTGACCCTGTAATGTAGACCATATACAGTACAGCAGAATGGATTTAGGTTCAATCATGGGAAGAAATATGAGTGGCTGTACATTCCAACACCCCTTTGCTAACATTCCCAAATATTCTAATATATTGCAAAGGGGCGCCATATGACTTAAAACATCATGACTTCACAAACAAGACCTTTGAGTTCTGCTAAGACCCCTTGAAATAGGATTGTGTATTTTGGAGCTGAGTGTATGCAAAGACTCATTAGGTCTAATTTTGATGCTGCCCCCCCATAATAATTATTATTGTGGCTTGTACTTGAGTTTTCAAAGTGTATTCCAGGCACAGTGCTAAATAGCTAACAAGAGTGATCTCATTTAGTCCTCATAAAAATTCTGGAGGTAGGTACTATCATTTTCCCTTTTGAGGGTAAAGTAGCAGAGAGTTGGAGACTGAAACTTACTCAAGATCACAGCTGGAAAGTAGCAAAAGTGGGAACTGAAGTCTGTTTGAGTCAAAGATGATGCCCTGAATTACTAGGACTATTCAGACCAGATCTTATAGTGTAGTATAAATCTTGGTCAGAGAAAAAGTTGAAGCACATAAATGCAACCTGGCCATTTGGAGAACCCTCGAAATTCAAGAAGCACATACTGAGCCTGGCCTGTCTTGCTGTGTCTCCTCTTGAACCCCAGAACAACTGCTCAGTAAGCAAACCACAGGACAGAGGTGCTTCATGATAAGAGGGGTGTAATTTTCTGTGTATCAAATTTTAAATCTTTGCCATTATTTTAATTCCTGTTTCCTGTGGACTCTGGCTTGCTGTATTTATAAGAACACTAAACCTGAGAGCAAACAGAATGATCATGCACAAAATCTGTAAGACAAAAACAGGCACACTGTCACATCTTCACCTTTTCCTTTTTGTTCCTTCCTTTTTCCTTTTTTTTCATCTCTTATTATCTTCCAGACATCTTGCTTTCAGTTTCAATTATATGCTATATACAAATGTGCCATACTCCATGTTTGTATATGTGCAAATTATTTCATTTTTTCATAATTTTTAATATGTGCAAGGTAATTTTTCATTTTCATCATAATTCAATTTTATTATACATCATAGGCAGTGTTAGACAATATTAATCTGTGGATCAAACGGTAACAGAGAAGAAGAATCAGAGGAACAAAGAGGGATTTCTGGAACTGTGGAAATGATGGAGATGGCTAGATCGCCTGACAACTTCCGGATTCTCATCAAAAGATTTTTTGTAATTGTCTAAAAGAATATCTCATATAAAAGGCAAGCCAAAAAAGCTTACACTCTTAATAATTTTGATTATATGACAGTAAATATTACCTTATTCTATATGCCCCTCTAAAACAATATTTATTGTCATGCCTGGAAAATGTCCTCAATGAAACTTTGCTCTCTAATCTAGTACCCTGTAAGTTAGCTCTTTTAAAATCATTTCCAAAACTTCATGATGAACCCTGTTCAGAGTTAGTTGTAGAAAACCTATGGGAGTAAGCAAATCTTACAGCCTTTGACCTTTCAGAACTGGATCCTTATATAGCCCTATATTGAGGCTCAGTGACACCAGCCAAGATTTTAAAGGAGAGGAGGGTGGTCCTACATGGCATCAAAGGTAAGGCTGTGTCATACCTGCTTCCTTTCTCACCCATTTTGCAGGTGTTACTTACTGCAGCCTTTCTACATTTAGCCTGTAATGCCTCCTGGAAATGAAGAGTTTTATAATATATTGCAATTATAGCACCATAATTTATTTGACCTAAATATATTACAAGCTCCAGGCACTACCGACCAGTTCTAGTAATTCCAGCACTAGGTGAATGTGGTCGTGTTTACCATATCTGCTTTATACTTTTATAGATGCTACTCTTCTATAGCAGTACTCAGATCCACTGAACATGAGTCCAAAATATCAAAACTTCCTGACCAATATTACATCACCCTGGTACCATGGTCTGTGTGCTTCCCAAAGTAAACGTGAATTAATCTGGATAACCTTCCCGTTATTGGGAAGGTTAAAGAAAACACCCAGAAACCATGATTTTTTTTTTTTTTTTAGAATTATACCCTCTGCCTTTTAACATAAAGAACTAATTGTATTGCTTTCAAAGAAGAAATAAGGGACTTCCCTTAGCAGATTGGTATAAGCAATTATTCATGACTCATTTCATGTGGTTATCTTGGGATCACAGTGCTTCAAAAGTCACTTTCTCAGGCTACACTTCAGCTGCCAGATAACACTGTTAAGTATATGCTTGTCCATAAGTGCTAGCTCGAAGCCTGACCCTCCCGAGGTCTGCGTAGATTTCTGTATCGATGAAAAACAGTAAATACCAAGGACTTTGGCCCTATGTTCAGACTTACTATGTTACCTGTGTGTGTTTTACTTTTTAGTTGGAATCCCGTTTTGAGTATCTATTCTGGCCTTGTTTTTCATTCATGGCTTCCCTTATTTTTGTGTAACATCTTGATTGTAGCCTTGAGAAACCGTGGTCACAGAACAAAGCCAACCCATGCTCAGATTCCTTACCCACAAAACGGTGAGATAATTAAGTGTGTGTTGTTTTAACCTACCAAGTTTGTGGCAATGTGTTATACAGCAATAGGTGACTAATTCTGTATTCTGTACAGGAAGAGGAGAAAGCCAGGTTCACTCCTTGAAACCAGGGGCTGGGCCAAGACTCCCACATGTGGGAACAGAGTCTGAGTAAAAAGGTTGG